GCGGTCCATCAGGACTAGAACCTCCCGCCACAAGAACAGTTTCTTCCCCTCTGCTGTTGGACTCTTGAACACTTCTTAACCTGTCCCCCCGCCCTTTATAAAGTCACTTTACTGCCCATCATACGTCACTTTACTTCACTGTACTGCTGTCACCTTACATTGTGTGCACCATGTGCACTTGTATATTGTAAATAGTAACTGTAACTCTATTTTAAATTTAAATGTATTCTTTAGAAGTGTTTTTTATTCTTATTTTTATTATCTCTTTTTGACTGTTGCACTGAGCCAAAGCAATTTCCAAGTCTGTGACCTCCCGTTACTTACGTTGGCAATAAAAATGATTCTGATTCTGATAATAGGTACATAGTATAATATATACAATATAATATTGCCCAAGTCATTTTGCATCGTTAAAATGGTAATAAGGAGAAAAACATAACTCTTTACATGTTTTCCAAGAACAGTGGAGAATTAGTTAGGCAATTATGTGATGTAGCTCACGATGTTTCCTATCACAGTTACAGAAGTCACTGACCATAGTTATTGGATGATGTTCCAAGATATTTGTGTTTCTGAGTGTGCACAAATGGATGTTTATGTCTGCTTTCAGTTGCATCCGACTATTGTCAGTGATGGGAATCATGCTCCAGTGCTGAAGCAGGGGAACACACTCACGTGTGTAACCTGTTTTAAACATGGCGGAGAAGCACAAATGCTCACACACGTGCAAACCCATGAAAGGGCATCTGTTTGTCATGGAGCTATGTTTTAACTTCGAATCCAGGTGTTGTGCAATATTGTAAATTTGTTCTTTAAAGTGATTGTCTAGAGTTTGTCAGAAAGAGAGACAGAGAGGTACTTGATTTGAAAAAAAAAACAACCCAAGCTCCCTCCCCCTTCCTTTCTGATTGGTCTACACGCTCTTACCGGAAGTATAGCATGATTTATATAATGTTTGTTTTACATTAGTAGGCCCGAGCGCCACCAGACCAATAAAATTCATTATTGCGCATAAATTCATTGGGCATAGATAGTACTCACTACTACTCATACCCGTATTATAATAGATCCATGCTCATACACGCGGAGTGGGCGTGTCGAGTAGTGACGTCACTACCAGACACGCCCACTACTCGACACGCCTCCGTACTGCAGGCCGCAGACAGATACACTTGAAAAAGTCTTAAAACTCTTAAATCGATCTAATCCCAAATTAAGACACATGTTTTGCCTAATTTCAGCATTTTTAGACTATTTTCTCATCACTTTTCACTCTATGTTCTGCTCTGGCCCTCACAGAACGCTCCGGGTCGAATCTCTCCGATCTGTGACATCATAGCTAGACCCCGCCCCCTTGTCAATCAGCACAAACCACAAAAACAACCCAATATTATTAAAAAAATGACTTTATGCCAAGTGAGAATACGGACTTTGTGGACACATTCGTAACAGCGCAGCCGTACAGAGAACCGTCAATAATGATCTTTAGAAAGAAACACAATCCTAGAAGAAGAACACAACCCAAGGATCCTGTCGCACAAACCCAACATGAGAACAAGGCTTTCCTGGTTATCAGCCAGAAAATGGAGTAAAAATATATATCAAAAACTCCCAGACATTTCCCTTTAATCTGCATCGTAGAGAGGGAGGAGGAGACTTTGTTTTAAAATGACGTATATTCAAAGTGGTAACCATGGAAACGGTGAGATCCTTCCATTCAGTCGTCAAAAAACAGCATATAAAAATATACAGCAATGCAGAGGTTTGAACCGGGCCACGCGGGAAAAGGTGAGATTATGAGCCTTTGAAAGTGAAAGTAAAAGTATAACACGGCTCAGTGCTTTTGTACCTGTGCTAAAAGTTTATTTCATACAATTTATACAAAATAAAAACTGAAATATTAAATGAGATTCGAACTGAACTCATTTGAAACGAAATCTGATATTTGATGTTTTTGATGTTAAGATGTTGTTTAGGTGAGAATTACTATTTTCACTGTTTAGACCAGAGAGAGACCAGAGAGAGACCAGAGAGAGACCAGAGAGAGACCAGAGAGAGACCAGAGAGAGACCAGAGAGAGACCAGAGAGAGACCAGAGAGAGAGACCAGAGAGAGACCAGAGAGAGAGACCAGAGAGAGACCAGAGAGAGACCAGAGAGAGAGAGGAGAGAGAGACCAGAGAGAGACCAGAGAGAGAGAGAGACCAGAGAGAGACCAGAGAGAGAGAGAGAGAGAGAGACCAGAGAGAGACCAGAGAGAGAGACCAGAGAGAGACCAGAGAGAGACCAGAGAGAGACCAGAGAGAGACCAGAGAGAGAGACCAGAGAGAGACCAGAGAGAGACCAGAGAGAGAGACCAGAGAGAGACCAGAGAGAGACCAGAGAGACCAGAGAGAGACCAGAGAGAGACCAGAGAGAGACCAGAGAGACCAGAGAGAGACCAGAGAGAGACCAGAGAGAGACCAGAGAGAGAGACCAGAGAGAGACCAGAGAGAGACCAGAGAGAGAGAAGAGAGAGACCAGAGAGAGACCAGAGAGAGAGAGAGAGAGACCAGAGAGAGACCAGAGAGAGACCAGAGAGACCAGAGAGAGACCAGAGAGAGACCAGAGAGACACCAGAGAGACCAGAGAGACCAGAGAGAGAGACCAGAGAGAGACCAGAGAGAGACCAGAGAGAGACCAGAGAGAGACCAGAGAGAGAGACCAGAGACAGACCAGAGAGAGACCAGAGAGAGAGAGACCAGAGAGACCAGAGAGAGACCAGAGAGAGACCAAAGTGAGACCAGAGAGAGACCAGAGAGAGACCAGAGAGAGACCAGAGAGAGAGACCAGAGAGAGACCAGAGACCAGAGAGAGACCAGAGAGACACCAGAGAGAGACCAGAGAGAGAGACCCAGAGACAGACCAGAGAGAGACCAGAGAGAGACCAGAGAGACACCAGAGAGAGACCAGAGAGAGAGACCAGAGAGAGACCAGAGAGAGACCAGAGAGACCAGAGAGAGACCAGAGAGACCAAAGTGAGACCAGAGAGACCAGAGAGAGACCAGAGAGAGACCAGAGAGAGACCAGAGAGAGACCACTGTGTCTGTTTGATTTTCTGATCCGTGTCGACGAATCGACAACTTGGTAAAGTCCTTTGACGAGGCTAAAAACATAGAATAGAATTGTTGTGATGAAAAACAGTTAAACATTATTTATTAGAAACTTAAAGCTGCTGAACCTAAAGTTTTGTTTCGAGACTGAAATGTTGTTTGTCGCGATAGAAAAAGTGTGAGAAATGTGTTTATTGTGGATAAATCCGACGTCATCTCCCCAGGTCATTGTGCTGACGTGATCCAACAGTCCCTGTGAGTCACTATTTGACCCTTTGGGCTCAGACAGAAATAAGAATTAGATTTTTACATGAGCTTTGAAAATAGAGACCACAGCTTTAAGTCTCGCACCAAATGTTAGTGCTATAAGAACCAAGTGGAACTCTGAGGAGCACAGGGACTGGCCTCCTGCTGTGACTCTGAGGAGCACAGGGACTGGCCTCCTGCTAAGACTGAGGAGCACAGGGACTGGCCTCCTGCTGGGACTCTGAGGAGCACAGGGACTGGCCTCCTGCTGGGACTCTGAGGAGCACAGGGACTGGTCTCCTGCTGGGACTCTGAGGAGCACAGGGACTGGCCTCCTGCTGGGACTGAGGAGCACAGGGACTGGCCTCCTGCTAAGACTGAGGAGCACAGGGACTGGTCTCCTGCTGGGACTCTGAGGAGCACAGGGACTGGCCTCCTGCTGGGACTGTGAGGAGCACAGGGACTGGCCTCCTGCTAAGACTCTGAGGAGCACAGGGACTGGCCTCCTGCTGGGACTCTGAGGAGCACAGGGACTGGCCTCCTGCTGGGACTCTGAGGAGCACAGGGACTGGCCTCCTGCTTTTCTGATTTAAAGCCTTGTCTTGTGAGTTGCCGTGTGTGGACTGTGCTATACCAATAACCTTGCCTAATGCTAAAGGGTTATGAACATATGACATCAGTGACTTTTCCGCGTGGCCTCGCACCAGCATTTTTGTGTTACAATTTGAGTAAACTTCTGAACCATCAAACGACAGAATAAAAATAAACATATGTACATGTAGATACGGATACAGGTGTAAAAAATAAAAGAATACAGAATACATACAGGTGAACAGAACCATGAACAGAACCATGAACAGAACCATGAACAGAACCATGAACACGCTCAGAGCAGAGGAGTCATTCTGTGTCCGTCCTAAAAACAACAAAGTTCACAATCTGGTCCAAAGAGTTCCATCCACATGGACGGCGTGCTCCGGTGTCTGGCCGTGACTGCCCTTCCTCTGATTGGCTGCGTCCGTCCTGAGAAAAGGTACTTGTAGAAGAAGAAAGCAGTTTGTTGCTGGGGGACGTGAATGCTTCTCGGGCACAAGACGCCATTTTGTGTCCACGGAAATCACAGTTGCATCTTTTTGTTTTCCCCCGTTTGGATTGAATGGTATAGACCAGGGGAGAGACCAGGGGAGAGACCAGGTGAGAGACCAGGTGAGAGACCAGGTGAGAGACCAGGGGAGAGACCAGGGGAGAGACCAGGTGAGAGACCAGGGGAGAGACCAGGGGAGAGACCAGGGGAGAGACCAGGGGAGAGATTAGAGGAGAGACCAGGGGAGAGACCAGGTGAGAGACCAGGGGAGAGACCAGGGGAGAGACCAGGCGGAGACAGGACCAGGGGAGAGACCAGGGGAGAGACCAGGGGAGAGACCAGGACCAGTGGAGCTAGGACAAGGGGTGCCAGGACCAGGGTAGGGACCAGGGGACCCAGGATCAGGGGAGAGACCAGGGGACCCAGGGCTAGGGGAGCAAGGACCAGGGGAGAGACAGGACCAGGGGAGACAGGACCAGGGGAGACAGGACCAGGGCAGGTTGAGAAGCTAGTAGCAGATCTTGTGTTTCTAATCTGGTGAAAGTGTAAAACAGCCGGAACAATCAGTTGTGTCCCTAGGGTGCTGTGGCGAGGGCGGGGTGGGGTCCTTAGGGTGTTGTGGCGGGGCGGGGTAGGGTCCTTAGGGTGCTGTGGCGGGGTGGGGTCCTTAGGGTGCTGAGTTGGGGTGGGGCGGGGTCCCTAGGGCGCGGTGGTTGTGATTGCGTTCAGGTCTTTCATGAGGCCCTCCAGGTGGGCCATCTCCTCCGTCAGCTCGTCGGGTTCGTAGCTCTGCGGGAGAGGCACAGGAGGGGGGGCGTTACTGCGCGAGGCGGAGGGCGTCAGGGAGGCCAGGACCTGCAGGAGAGCCAGGGGGGGGGAAAGAGGGGGGAGAGGGGGGAGAGGGGGGAGAGCAAGCCCAGGTCAGTCAGGTTAGGAGGGCAGGGGGAGGGGCTGATGCTGAGGCAAAGACTGCAGCTGATGTCCTGTACCTGTGATACCTGGACCTGGGGTAAGTCTGGGGGTAGACCTGAGGCTGGATTATGGCGTTAATAATCTGGTTTATCGACGCCTCTTTATGCTGCCTTTACCTTTTTACTCTAACGACTTCTCTGCACCTGGAGCCAAAGAGATTCTAGTTTGTGACCTCCTGTGACCTCCTGTGACCTCCTGTGACCTCCTGTGACCTCCTGTGACCTCCTGTGACCTACGATGCAATAAAAAACATCTGGTTCTGGACCGGGTCTTGCTTTTTTATTAACCAAAAAATATAGAGAAGTATAGAGTTGTTCTATACTTTATGTAAAGGTTGATGTTTTATTATTGATAGAATATGTTTTATTTTGACGCTTCCTGTCTCAACCGGAAGTCAAGTGGCTCGCGCAACATCAGACGGAGAAACGTTACAGTGTATGGACGTTACAAACAAACAGACGGTCTAGTAGTCAATGGTCTAAAGAGGAAACAGAGCCAATATGGTATAAAAGAAACAACAACAAAGTTTAGCAACAGTTGAGATAGAGGGAACAAGGTATGGATTGATTTTATTTGTGTAACAATTGTTTCTTTGTGTAAAATAACTAGTAATTGTGATATAACGGTTTACAATGTAATTGATGCTAGATAGTATTTGGACATGATTGTAAGTTGATTTTCATTTCTGTTCTAGCTCTTACGTTGGTTATATGAATATATGGAAGGACAAAATAAACTTCATTTTAACCATCAGTTCTGGCTTCAACTATACACTCAACTGGACGCTACAATAAATTTTAATGAAAATACTGCTAATCCAAGATCTGACAGCTGCTTGTACATAATCTGTCTTTCTGTTGAGTATAGAGCACAAAACAATAACACATGAGGCACCGTTTCAGGTTGACCACACTGACATAATCCATCACGATGCTTGCCAATGATTTCCAAATATGCTGCTAGCCCACAATGCCCCAGCCTCAATCTAACAATCTTTACCTGATTTGCCCGGCTAGATATCCACACAGGCCTAATATTTTGCACAAGTGGCTGAGAATTAAAATAATGCCTCCCCCTTTTCTCTTTCTCCCACACTTTTTGCCACTGATTTTGCACAACACTTTTTATGATACTTATACACTCTAATTTTCCCAAACAGATGTTATACTCTATTTCCTCACACAGAAGAGACTGCTTAGCCAGTGTATCAGCTCTCTCATTCCCCACTATACCTGAATGAGATGGGATCCAGCGAAATACTACACTAGATCCCCTTGCTTCAAGCCGACGGAGGCAACACAACATCTCCAAGATTATATCGGCTCGGGCCCCAGACAGGCCAGCAGATATAGCCTGTAAAGCAGACACTGAATCTGAATAAATATAAGAGGATTCAAAATTATTCCTCTCTACGCAATCAAGAGCCAAATACATACAATACAATACAATACAATACAATTTATTCTTGTATAGCCCTAGGTCACAACAGAAGTCATCTCAGAGGACTTAACAAAACCATTGAAATCACCAACACAGGTCAGAGAATCAACAGTTAAAACACATGAAGAATACAGTATAAAGCACACACAGAAGAAAATGTCCATACATGTTGTAGAATGCTAAAGTGTCCTGATCATCACCAATCCTTTCTGTTGGACACTAACTGTCCAACAAGACCCTCCTGCATCGACAAGGAAAAACTCTTAAAAAACCCAGTGGGAAAAAGTGAGAAACCTTGGAGGAGAACTAGGGAAACCCACAGGGAGGGAGACCCATTTGAGAAAGGGATCCGCTCCTCCGGACGGACAGACTAATGATCCAGGACCTAAGCTAGCTACAGAACGTGGACCAGTGGACGCTGAACGTGGACAGGTCCGGTGCAGGACTGAAGCACTCCCAGGCGGGTCGGGCGGGGCAGTCCGCAGGTGTAGATGGAAGAGGCCAGGCTCAGAGATCCCGTCATCGTACCATGAAACAGACAATGGGACAACGGGTGAATAGCAATGAACAAACTACAGTCAGAATCCTAAAAATGCTAAACAGATAAAGTAGGAAGGAGGAGAGGATAGTGCTCAAGTTACCATACTTCTCCCAGCAAACTGACTCCCTATGCAGCTTGACTAACACTCTGAGGAGTTTAACCTTCTCCGAGTCTTACCTTCCTAGCCATATGCTAAACTAAAGAGGACTGTTTTTTTAAACCTAGCCTTGAATAAAGAATAACATACAGCATAATATATAACATAATATACAACATAACACAATACATTATTGAATAATATATAACATAATATATAACATAATACAGCATATATATATAATATATACACTACATATTATATATTACCTAATTATATGCTAAATTAAAGTAAAGTGCTTTAAGCCTGGCCTTGAATGTGGAGACCGTATCTGCTTCCTTAACATAAATGGGAAGCTGATTCCACAGTAAAGGAGCTTGGTAGCTAAATGCTCTGCCACCAACAGTGACCTTTGAGACCTTAGGGACCACCAGACGTCTGGCGTTTTTGTGAGCGCAACGCTCGACCTGGTTGATACGACACTAACGTGTCTTGGAGATAAGAAGGGAGCCAAGCCATTTATGGCTTTATATGTTAAGAGTAGGATTTTAAACTTTATTCTGTACTCCACAGGGAGCCAGTGGAGTGATTTTAACACCGGAGTTATGTGCTCCCTCCTTTTGGTACCTGTTAAGATCCTAGCTGCTGTATTCTGAACGAGCTGGAAGCTCTTCAAAGAGGCTTTAGGGCACGCTGCCAGTAAAGCGTTACAGTAGTCGAGCCTTGAGGTGACAAACGCGTGAATGAGTTTTTCCGCGTCACTTTTAGGAAGGAAATTCCTAATTTTAGCGATGTTCCGTAAGTGGAAGTACGCCGTTTTAGTTGCTTGGCTTATATAAGCCTTGAAGGAGAGTTCTTGGTCAAAAATGACTCCAAGATTCCTCACAGTGTTACTGGGTATTATACTGACATTATCGAGAGTAACCATCTGGTTAGTGAGGGAGTCACGCAGGCGCTTCGGACCGAGTAGGATCACTTCTGTCTTCTCCGGGTTGAGAAGTAGGAAGTTAAGAGTCATCCACATTTTAAGGTCCTTTATGCAGGCACTGAGCTTTTCTAGCTGATCTGTCTGATTAGGCTTCATCGACAGATAAAGCTGTGTGTCATCTGCATAGCAGTGGAAATTAATTCCATGCTTTTTAATAATGTTTCCCAGTGGCAGCATGTAGAGAGTAAAAAGAATCGGTCCGAGTACCGAACCCTGCGGCACACCGAATTCCACTCCAGAATAAGGCGACGAGTCCTGATTCACATTGACGAAGTGATATCGATCTGATAAATAGGATTTAAACCAGCCAAGGGCTGTTCCTCTAAGACCTATATCACATTCTAGCCTCTGCAGTAGAATGCTGTGGTCTATTGTGTCAAATGCAGCACTAAGGTCCAGTAGGACCAGCACTGACACTTGTCCATTATCGGCAGCTAGTAGTAAGTCATTTGTGACTTTGACTAGTGCCGTTTCAGTGCTATGATGAGCTCTGAATCCTGATTGAAAGACTTCAAACATATCATTTTCCTGCAGGTGGCAGCGGAGCTGCTCAGCTATAAGTTTTTCCAGGATTTTAGATATAAAAGTGAGGTTCGAGATCGGTCTGTAGTTTGTAAGTATTTCTGGGTCCAGGTTTGTTTTCTTCAGAAGGGGTTTGATTACCGCGGTTTTAAAAGCTTGTGGGACATAGCCACATTGTATGGATGCGTTTATTATATTTACGATAGGCTCAATTATCAAAGGAAGTATGTCTTTGAAGAGCCATGTCGGGACTGCGTCTAACATGCAAGTTGAGGCTTTTGAGGATGTGACCACAGAGATCACCTCTGCTTGGCTCACAGCCATGAATTTATTAAGGCCCACTGAAGAGTCTAAGTGGGAAGTCACGTATGCCGCTTCAACCTGTCCACCACTAACAGCAGGAGCAACCTCCTCTAGCTTGTCACGGATGGATGTAATTTTATTATTAAAGAAGTGGAGAAAGTCGACACTGCTCAGTGAGCTTGGAATTTTAGGCTCGATTGCGCTATGGCAGTTTGTGAGTTTAGCGACGGTACCAAACAAAAATCTACTGTTGTTTTTATTCGCTTCTATTAAAGTTGAATAGTATTGAGTTCGAGCCCCGCGAAGGGCCTTCTTGTAGTTTCGGAGACCTGCTTTCCACTCCCTGTGGACAGGCTCCGAGTGGGAGTGGCGATATAGCCTCTCCAATTTTCTGACGTCCTGTTTTAAAGTGTGGAGTTGAACACTGTACCAGGGCGACGATGATCTAATCCTAATGGTTTTCTGTTTTAAAGGAGCTGCTGCATTTAATGCAGATTTTAAAGACTCCATAGTGTTGCCCACCGTTTGGTCAATGACTGAGGGACTGCAGCTGCTGTGAACAGGTTCACCTGCAGCAGTATTCAACATAGGCTGTATTAGTTCTTTGAACCTTGTGATAGATTTATCATTTAAGGTTCTTTTCATTATGGTTTTATCTTGCGGGACAGGAAAGTCCTCCAAAGCGAGATCAAACGTGATCAAGAAATGGTCAGACAGCAACGAGCTTTGACGCTGGATGTCAACATTGGAGACATCACAGCCGTAGGTCAGGACAAGGTCCAAGGTGTGGTTATGAATGTGAGTAGGTTCCTCGACATTCTGAGTAAAACCAACACCATCTAGTACGGCGCTGAAAGCTTTGTTTAAGCTGTCAGTGCTGTCGTCCACATGTATATTGAAGTCTCCAGCTATAACTATGTTTTCCCATTCCAAAACTAGGTTTGAAATGAAGTCAGAGAATTCTGTTAGGAACTCGCTGTAAGGACCAGGAGGTCGGTATAAAACTATAAATAGTACTGCTTTTTGTTTTCTCCACCCAGGACAGGTGATTGAAAGTGTTAAGTTTTCAAACGAGTGAAAAGCGTTGTTGGTTTTGGGACTAAGAACCAAGTTGGTGTGTGATATAATCGCAACACCACCGCCGCGACCTGTAGCTCTGGCTTTCTGGTAGTTAACATGCGTCGGAGGAGTGCACTCATTCAATCTAACGTAGTCGTCCTGTTGGAGCCAAGTCTCCGAGAGCGCAAACAGATCCAAGCCCTTGTCTATAATAAGTTCGTTTATGAGAAGCGATTTAGACGAGATTGATCTGACGTTCATTAAACCACATTTAACAACCCTACCGCTAGAACTATTTCTGTCTGTCTGAACTTTTATTAAGTTACTGTGTCTGACACCTAGGTCAGATTTCCTCGCATATAGTGCTTTAGACTTCAAGCGGGGAACACACACAGTTTCAATCTGACTAGGTTCTGAGGCTAGTAACTGAGCACACACAGGCACACACACACATGCACACACAGTTTCAATCTGACTAGCTTCTGAGGCTAGTAACTGAACAGATGGGGGCTCAGAGGTTGTGGCAGAGCAGCTCTGCACCCGGGCCTCAGTTCTGCATCGTCATTTGAGCCGAGCAGAACAGTTTAGAGCCAGGGCCAAATTCTTAGCCAAAAGGGATGTACCCGCCAACGTTGGGTGGATATCATCCGAGCGGATGAGACCGGGCTTTCCCCAAAAGGCACTCCAATTGTCAACATGAACAACACCACTTCGAGGGCACCAGCCAGACAGCCAGCGGTTGAAAGCCGAGTGTCTGCTGAATGCTTCTGCACTGCTAGTGCTAGGTAGGGGCCCAGAGAAGATGACAGTGTCGGCCATTGTGCTAGCCAGCTTGCACACGGCGGCGACTTGCAGCTTCAACACCTCGGACTGTTTCCGCCGAACGTCATTACCACCCGCGTGAATAACAATTCGACGGAAACGCTGCATACAACTGAGGCCCTACAGAAACACACACAGGGACATAAAGTAACACACACAGAGACATACAACTGAGGCCCTAAAGCAACACACACAGAGACATACAACTGAGGCCCTAAAGAAACACACACAGAGACATACAACTGAGGCCCTAAAGAAACACACACAGAGACATACAACTGAGGCCCTAAAGCAACACACACAGAGACATACAACTGAGGCCCTAAAGTAACACACACAGAGACATACAACTGAGGCCCTAAAGCAACACACACAGAGACATACAACTGAGGCCCTAAAGTAACACACACAGAGACATACAACTGAGGCCCTAAAGCAACACACACAGAGACATACTACTGAGGCCCTAAAGAAACACACACAGAGACATACAACTGAGGCCCTAAAGAAACACACACAGAGACATACAACTGAGGCCCTAAAGCAACACACACAGAGACATACAACTGAGGCCCTAAAGTAACACACACAGAGACATACAACTGAGGCCCTAAAGCAACACACACAGAGACATACAACTGAGGCCCTAAAGCAACACACACAGAGACATACAACTGAGGCCCTAAAGTAACACACACAGAGACATACAACTGAGGCTCTAAAGCAACACACACAGAGACATACAACTGAGGCCCTACAGAAACACACACAGGGACATAAAGTAACACACACAGAGACATACAACTGAGGCCCTAAAGCAACACACACAGAGACATACAACTGAGGCCCTAAAGAAACACACACAGAGACATACAACTGAGGCCCTAAAGAAACACACACAGAGACATACAACTGAGGCCCTAAAGCAACACACACAGAGACATACAACTGAGGCCCTAAAGTAACACACACAGACATACAACTGAGGCCCTAAAGCAACACACACAGAGACATACAACTGAGGCCCTACAGAAACACACACAGAGACATAAAGCAACACACACAGAGACATACAACTGAGGCCCTAAAGTAACACCTACAGAGACATACAACTGAGGCCCTAAAGTAACACCTACAGAGACATACAACTGAGGCCCTAAAGTAACACCTACAGAGACATACAACTGAGGCCCTAAAGTAACACACACACAGACATACAACTGAGGCCCTAAAGCAACACACACAGAGACATACAACTGAGGCCCTAAAGAAACACACACAGAGACATACAACTGAGGCCCTAAAGCAACACACACAGAGACATACAACTGAGGCCCTAAAGAAACACACACAGAGACATACAACTGAGGCCCTAAAGAAACACACACAGAGACATACAACTGAGGCCCTAAAGCAACACACACAGAGACATACAACTGAGGCCCTAAAGTAACACACACAGAGACATACAACTGAGGCCCTAAAGCAACACACACAGAGACATACAACTGAGGCCCTACAGAAACACACACAGGGACATAAAGTAACACACACAGAGACATACAACTGAGGCCCTAAATAAACTGTGTGTGTGTGTGTGTCAATGTAACTAAAAATACTACGACCACTACTATTAAAAGAACATCACAAATACATTAATACATAAAAAAAATACATTGAACAAAAATCATTAATAGCAAATGAATAATAAAAAATGAATACAGACAAAAAGAGCTGATTGGCTGAGAGCCGATTGGCCGAGAGCTGATTGGCTGAGAGCTGATTGGCTGAGAGCTGATTGGCTGAGAGCTGATTGGCTGAGAGCTGATTGGCTGGGAGCTGATTGACCGAGAGAGCTTGGTCCTTTCTTTTTCTACTTTTACGTCTTTAAAATCTGAGCTAAAGAAAAATCATGTAAAATCTGGAGAAAGAACCAAAGTTTTTAGAGAGAAATGAACTATTGTAATTTTTGACATTAGGTCCAGTTACTGTGGGTGGAAAGTCAGGGACATCACCTTTAAAATGGAACCAAACATAGACTCATTACCGACAGAGTGAGAGACAGTCTTTGTGCTCTCCTTTGTTCTGTGAAACTATGAAACCAGAGAGAGACCAGAAAGAGACCAGAGAGAGACCAGAGAGAGACCAGAGAGAGACCAGAGAGAGAGAGACCAGAGAGAGACCAGAGAGAGACCAGAGAGAGACCAGAGAGAGACCAGAGAGAGACCAGAAAGAGACCAGAGAGAGAGATCAGAGAGAGACCAGAGAGAGACCAGAGAGAGACCAGAAAGAGACCAGAGAGAGAGACCAGAGAGAGACCAGATAGAGACCAGAGAGAGAGACCAGAGAGAGACCAGAGAGAGAGACCAGAGAGAGACCAGAGAGAGAGACCAGAGAGAGACCAGAGAGAGACCAGAGAGAGACCAGAAAGAGAGACCAGAGAGAGACCAGAGAGAGAGACCAGAGAGACCAGAGAGAGACCAGAGAGAGAGACCAGAGAGAGACCAGAGAGAGACCAGAGGGAGAGACTAGAGAGAGAGACCAGAGAGAGACCAGAAAGAGACCAGAGAGGCCAGAGAGAGACCAGAGAGAGAGACCAGAGAGAGAGACCAGAGCGGCACGGTGGCTGAGTGGATAGCACTCTCGCCTCTCAGCAAGAAGGTCCTGGGTTCGAATCCCGGCCGGACCAGGGCCTTTCTGAGTGGAGTTTGCATGTTCTCCCCGTGTCTGCGTAGGTTTCCTCCGGGTACTCCGGTTTCCCCTACCACTAAAAATATGTCCAATAGTTCTGGCATGCGCTTCCTGTACTGGCGACCCCGCTCCCATCTCTGTGTGGAGTGAGAGACTAATGCCCAAAATTAACAATTGTAAACCGCTTTGAGACTCAGATCTGCAGTGAAAAGGCGGTATATAAATAAAAAACTTACTACTTACTTACTTACTTACCAGAGAGACCAGAGAGAGACCGAGAGTGACCAGAGAGTGACCAGAGAGAGACCAGAGAGAGACCAGAGAGAGACCGAGAGAGATCAGAGAGAGACCAGAGAGAGACCGAGAGAGACCAGAGAGAGACCAGAGAGAGAGACCAGAGAGAGACCAGAGAGAGAAGAGGGACAAAAAAAAGTCATGACGTGTTTCTCACCGTTGACCGTGAGAGTGACCTCGGTCTCGCCGACGCCGATCCTGGGCACGATGGCTTTGCACACGTACTGTCCCGCGTCCGCCTGCCCCACCGACTTCAGGTACAGCTGGTTATTGTTGCTCAACACCTGCAGCAAAACCACACGGAACCAGGAATTAGACTCAGACGGAACCAGGACTCAGGGTCAGGCAGGTCCAGGACTATTTATCTACTGTATGTACTGTATGTATGTCCAGGTATAATCCGGTTCAGGACTGGGTCTGCGGTGAGACTCGGGTCCTGGTATAATCCGGTTCAGGACTGGGTCTGCGGTGAGACTTGGGTCCTGGTATAATCCGGTTCAGGACTGGGTCTGCGGTGAGACTCGGGTCCTGGTATGATCCGGTTCAGGACTGGGTCTGCGGTGAGACTCTGGTCCTGGTATAATCCGGTTCAGGACTGGGTCTTCGGTGAGACTCTGGTCCTGGTATAATCCGGTTCAGGACTGGGTCTGCGGTGAGACTCGGGTCCTGGTATAATCCGGTTCAGGACCGGGTCTGCGGTGAGACTCGGGTCCTGGTATAATCCGGTTCAGGACTGGGTCTGCGATGAGACTCGGGTCCTGGTATAATCCGGTTCAGGTCTCGGTCTGCGGTGAGACTCGGGTCCTGGTATAATCCGGTTCAGGACTGGGTCTGCGGTGAGACTCGGGTCCTGTTTAATTCATGGAACATGTAGATTTACTCTGAGTCCATTAGAGCGGATCCTCTGAACGTGTTGGTTCTGAATTAAACATTTACGACACGGAGTCTGGACCCGGCGGCGCTCGGCTAAAACCAACACCGGGTCTGGGAGGAGGCGTGAAGAGGAGACATGAGAGGGAGCAGGGGATCTATGTCGGGACGAGGCATGGGGAGGCAGCTTTCCAGACCTATCCACTCAGATTCAGATTCAGATTCAGATTCATTTATTTGCCATTTGCAGTAAAACCACATTGGAAAAACTGTGCAAGACTACCCCAGTGTGCACCAGCGGCACACACCAGAGCTCTTGCCACGGCGCCATCTTTACGGCGCCATGCGAAAAGATGGCGAAAAGTCAGACTGGTCTAAAGCAGGTCTGAGTCAGGTCTGAGGCAGGTCTGAGTCAGGTCTGATTCCGGTCTTACCAGGGTCTGAGTCGGGTCTCAGTCCGGTCTTACCAGGGTCTGAGTCCGGTCTTACCATGCTGGATCCCTTCTTGGTCCAGGTCAGGGTGAGGGGAGGGTTTCCGGACCATTTACAGTTTAACGTCACGTCTGAGTCCACGTCCACCGTGACGGGTCGAGGTTCTACCACCAGGATGGGTCCAACTGCAACACACACACACACACAAGTCACACACACACACCAACGTCACACACACACACAAGTCACACACACACACAAGTCACACACACACACAAGTCACACACACACACACACAAGTCACACACACACACACACAAGTCATACACACACACACACACACAAGTCATACACACACACACCAAAGTCACACACACACAAGTCACACACACACACACACACAAGTCATACACACACACACACCAAAGTCACACACACACAAGTCATACACACACACACACACCAAAGTCACACACACAAGTCATACACACACACACACACCAAAGTCACACACACACACATACGCACACACACACCAAAGTCACACACACACACACACACACACCAAAGTCACACACACACACATACGCACACACACACCAAAGTCACACACACACACCAAAGTCACACACACACATGACCAATCTCTCACCGTAGACGCATCTCACACCTCAACCACAAACCAGCAACACACATGGTCCAGACATGTGAGTCCGGACCATGTGAGTCCGGACCATGTGAGTCCGGACCATGTGAGTCTGGACCATGGGTCTGGAGAGACTCAGACCCTCTTCACTCTTCAGGTGGAAGCAGCAGGATTCAGCCATGATAGTCACATCATGATGATGATGGCGCCAGCAGTGTGCATGGCGCACCGTCTCTCTGCTCTGTTTGGCCTGTTTTTAATTGTTTTATTGTTGGATTGGTGCCAAAATGCCACAGCTCTGTTTGTTTATGATCGCCATACACTTTTAAACATTCGGAAATCTTATGAGGTACTGACTAAACACAGTTTGGACCAGCATGGCTCAGCACACATTCCTCCCCCTCTGCGCTGGGCCATCCCGAAGAGGAAACGCCCTAGGAAAAGGCGCAAGCGAGGCAACGTCCTTGTCCGAGTAAGAGCTCACCTGAAGTCTCGGAGAACTACAGCTCTAGTTGAGAAAGCGAGATGGATCACGCCCGTGCCAGCAGTGGATGGATGCAGTGCAGCCGGTGACCCGGTCTGCCCGGCTCTTTGGTACCGTTCCAGGCTGAGAGCAGCCAAGCGCGGTGTGGACTGGGGGAACATCCGCAAACTCGCCCGAGCTCAGGCCCCACGCCCTGGGCACACTGCACTCCGCATGGCGCTCCTGAACACCAGGTCCATCTCAAACAAAACTTTTCTGCTTAATGACTTCTTTGTCACGAGCAACCTGGATTATTTTTTCCTCGTGAAGAAGTGGGTTGAAGCGGGTGAGTGCTCAGCCTTCTCTGAACTTCTTCCTCCTGGCTGTTCATGTTTAAATTCACCGCGCACCACTGGAAGAGGTGGAGGACTTGCAACAGTTTTTAAATCTGATTTTATCTGCTGTCTATTTCCCTCCAATGTGTTCTCCAGTTTCGAACTACAACTTTTAAAAATCCAGACGAACCCATTGACACTTGGCGCAATAATCTACCGCCATCCAAAATTTAATACGAGTTTTATTCAGGAATTCTCCGATTTCCTGGCGGAGATAGTCACTCAAACAGACCAGCTTTTAATCGTGGGGGATTTTAATATTCACGTTTGCTGCGGCGACACCAAGCCACTTGTGAAGTATTTTTTAAATACTATTGACTCTTTTAACCTCACGCAATGGGTTTGTGGTCCCACGCATGAAAAAGGACATTCACTTGATCTTGTCCTTTCTCTGGGAATTGAAGTGAACATTGAGCGCATCTGTGATATGCATATTTTAGACCATCTCCCCGTTATTTTTAACATAAGTCTGCCGGGTGCCAAAGACTGCGGTGTTATCCCCGTGCGCACACGACGCGTGTTCACGCCACTGTCAGTGGATGATTTCTCTGCAGCGTTTCTGTCGTCTGTACCTTCCCCGCTCACTGCTCCGTCCAGTACAGTGAATGCAGAGGAGCTTACAGAGGCATTTAACTCGACCTGTGCAGTTATTCTGGACAAAGTTGCGCCTTTGGTGTCTAAGCGCCAAAAGCCTGTGTCAGAGCCTTGGCTCAACGAGGACACACGTGCGCTCAGACGCGAGTGCAGGCGTGCGGAGCGTAAATGGGATAAGGGCAAGTTACACGTCTCCCTTGGAATATACAGAGACTGTTTTACCAAGTATCAGCGAGCTGTAAAGACTGCAAAAGCTCAGTATATGTCTAATCTTATCTCTACGAACAGCCAGAGACCACAGATTCTTTTTAATGTTTTAAATGGTTTGGTTAACCCTGTGCCCTCCTCTGGTCTTGTCCCATCTGAACCTTTGTGCAATGATTTCCTGTCATTTTTTGTAAACAAAATATTGCACATTAGGATTTCACCTGTTTTCTCAAGTGTCTCTGAGCCCATTGTGAACACTGTGTCTGATATCTTTGATGAGTTCACGCCTGTATCTTTCACTGAGTTGTCCAGAGTTGTCCAGCATCTTAAACCGTCCAATTGTCCACTGGATATTGTTCCTGCACATTTTTTAAAAAGTGTTTTTGGTGTTGTTGGGCCTTACGTCACGCATGTTATCAATGCGTCCCTTTTATCTGGCTGTGTTCCGGGTGTTTTTAAGCACGCTGTAGTTCAGCCACTTCTTAAGAAGCCCACCTTGGACAACACTGTTCTTGCTAATTACAGGCCTATTTCGAAGCTGCCTTTTTTAGCCAAAGTATTGGAGAAAACAGTTCTTAATCAATTCCAACAGCATCTGGACACAAATGGCATCTTTGACACGTTTCAATCAGGTTTTAAAGCTCTACATAGCACAGAGACTGCACTGCTCAGAGTTTTTAATGATCTGCCATTTTAGTTCTTTTAGATCTGACAGCTGCTTTTGACACTATAGATCATAGCATTTTAATGTCGCGTTTGGAGCACTACGCTGGTTTTAAAGGCACCGCATTAAACTGGTTCAGGTCCTATCTTGGTAACAGGTGTTTTTCTGTCTACTTTGGGCCCTACAAGTCTGGCCTGGCACCCCTTAATTTGTGGCGTTCCACAGGGCTCCATTTTAGGCCCCGCCCTTTTTTCTTTGTATATGCTGCCACTTGGAGATATTCTAAAGAAACACAATGTCTCCTTTCATGCGTATACAGATGACCTGCAGATCTACCTGCCTTTAAATCCCATCTCAGTGTCAATTGCAACACTGGTAGATTGTCTCCAGGAAGTGAGATCATGGCTGGCCCAAAATGTTTTATTTCTCAACGAGAATAAAACTGAGATTGTTGTTTTTAGCTCCAGCCTCCCTGTGGAGCTCACTGATGCACTTGGTGCACTCTCTGCTCATGTCCATTCCTCTGCCAGAAACTTAGGAGTTATTTTTGATAGCACCTTTAGGATGGACAAGCAAATTAATTCAGTCATCAAAGCCAGCTTTTATCAGCTCCGGGTCTTGAGCAAAGTGAAGGCTTACATCCCACCGACTGACTTTGAGCGAGTTATCCACCTTTTTATTTCTTCAAGATTAGATTACTGCAACTCGATGTATTGTGGTCTGGACCTGGGCTCTTTAACGCGCCTTCAGCAGGTGCAGAATGCTGCTGCTCGCTTACTCACAGGGACACGTAAGAGAGAGCACATCACCCCCGTGCTGGCCTCACTTCACTGGCTCCCTGTTACTTTCAGGGTTGATTTTAAGATTCTGATGCTTGTTTTTAAATGTTTGAATGGTTTGGCCCCTGTATATCTGTCGGAGCTGTTATCTCTGTATGCTCCGGTCAGATCAGTGCGGTCCGAAAACCAGATATTGTTGAATGTGCCCCGGTCTCGTCTCAAAACTGGAGGAGACCGAGCCTTTTCTGTTGCTGCCCCCAAACTGTGGAACAGTGACCTCTGTTCATCAGAGCAGCTCCTTCATTGAAAGTTTTTAAGTCTAGTTTAAAGACACATTTTTACACCTTGGCTTTTAACACCAGTTGAGGTTTGACCACTTTACTTTTACATGTATGTGTATGTATTTTATACTGTTTTATTTTTATTTTTATCATTCGTGCCTGTGAAGCACTTTGGGCAGCTGGTGTTGTTGTAAATGTGCTATATAAATAAAGTTGACATTGACATTGACATTGACATGTTTACTAATGTGTACTGTTTAAATTAACCCTATTTAAATAAAAGAATAAATACATGTGTGTATAAATCCTGAACAAATGGACATGAGTCAGACTGAAGCCAGAGCAGCTGAACCGGACCCCAGTTTGGGAAACACTGTTTCTTTTTAAATCTGCTCAAAGCTGAAGCTCGAGGATGAAGTGAAGCTAAAGTCCTGTTGCACTTTTACCCCAGGAGGAATCAGCTAGAGCGTCTCTGCGGCACTTTCTCATTCATCACCGGCACTTTGCAAACTCTCTACACAAACTTCTCTACAGTAAAAAGTCTGCAGTGAGGCCCGGGGTCGTACGTCACCTCACTTTGGGAACCCATAAATCACCCCAGTTAAAGTAGCAGTCTGTAAAACTGTGTCCAAAAGTGGTACTGCAGCCTCTCCCACTCTCCCTGACTCAGGTTGCCAGATATGCAGACGAATCCAGCTGGGACCATAACAGCTGAATAGACAAGAGTTTTGTCAACAACAAATCTATAACCAACACCTTTTTCACAAAGATAGAAATCCTGGTTTTATTCCTTGTTTTGTTGTTAATGATTTGAGAATCATAACGACGAGACCTTTTTTAGTTCTGTGCCACATGGTACTTTACCAGTGAGATTAGCTCCACATGGTACTTTACCAGTGAGATTAGCTCCACACGGTGAGTTCTGGCGCCCGGATCACAGACTTTCTGATTGGTGAAACGGTGGAGGGGGGCGACCAGTTTGGAAAAGTGCATGGTCCCTTTAATGATGACAGATTAGGGCCCTTTAATGATGACAGATTAGGGCCCTTTAATGATGACAGATTAGGGCCCTTTAATGATGACAGATTAGGGCCCTTTAATGATGACAGATTAGGGCCCTTTAATGATGACAGATTAGGGCCCTTTAATGATGACAGTTTAGGGCCCTTTAATGATGACAGATTAGGGCCCTTTAATGATGACAGATTAGGGCCCTTTAATGATGACAGATTAGGGCCCTTTAATGATGACAGATTAGGGCCCTTTAATGATGACAGATAAGGGCCCTTTAATGATGACAGATTAGGGCCCTTTAATGAGGACAGATTAGGGCCCTTTAATGATGACAGATTAGGGCCCTTTAATGATGACAGATTAGGGCCCTTTAATGATGACAGATAAGGGCCCTTTAATGATAACAGATTAGGGCCCTTTAATGAGGACAGATTAGGGCCCTTTAATGATGACAGATTAGGGCCCTTTAATGATGACAGATTAGGGCCCTTTAATGATGACAGATTAGGGCCCTTTAATGATGACAGATTAGGGCCCTTTAATGATGACAGATTAGGGCCCTTTAATGATGACAGATTAGGGCCCTTTAATGGTGACAGATTAAGGCCCTTTAATGATGACAGATTAGGGCCCTTTAATGATGACAGATAAGGGCCCTTTAATGAGGACAGATTAGGGCCCTTTAATGATGACAGATTAGGGCCCTTTAATGATGACAGATTAGGGCCCTTTAATGAGGACAGATTAGGGCCCTTTAATGATGACAGATTAGGGCCCTTTAATGATGACAGATTAGGGCCCTTTAATGATGACAAATTAGGGCCCTTTAATTATGACAGATTTGGGCCCTTTAATGATGACAAATTAGGGCCCTTTAATGATGACAGATTAGGGCCCTTTAATGAAGACAGATTAGGGCCCTTTAATGAAGACAGATTAGGGCCCTTTAATGAAGACAGATTAGGGCCCTTTAATGATGGCCTGACATATTTCTACATGTTGAAATCAGTTTGAAGCATGTAGAGTATCGATGACGACCTCTAAAGTAACTGTACTGTAGTAATACTGTAGTAATACTGTAGTAATACTGCAGTACTCACAGTGCACGTCGACCAGGATGCTGACGTTGGTGCTGCCCACGGCGTTGAAGACCTGACAGGACACGGGCTCCGTGAAGAAGGAGTGGTCTGCGGTGGTCATGAACACGCTCTCCCGGGCCCCCTCCAGCAGCACGCCCCCTTTGGCCCACCTGGGAATTACACCAGCACACAATCTTTATGAAGCCAGAGAGACCAGAGAGAGACCAGAGAGAGACCAGAGAGAGAGACCAGAGAGAGACCAGAGAGAGACCAGAGAGAGAGACCAGAGAGACCAGAGGGACCAGAGAGACCAGAGAGAGACCAGAGAGAGACCAGAGAGAGAGACCAGAGAGAGACCAGAGAGAGACCAGAGAGAGACCAGAGAGAGAGACCAGAGAGAGACCAGAGAGACCAGAGAGAGACCAGAGAGAGACCAGAGATAGACCAGAGGGAGACCAGAGAGAGACCAGAGAGAGACCAGAGAGAGACCAGAGAGAGAGACCAGAGAGAGACCAGAGAGAGACCAGAGGGAGACCAGAGAGAGACCAGAGAGACCAGAAAGAGACCAGAGAGAGACCAGAGAGACCAGAGAGAGACCAGAGAGAGACCAGAGAGAGACCAGAGAGAGACCAGAGAGAGACCAGAGAGAGACCAGAGAGACCAGAGAGAGAGACCAGAGAGGGACCAGAGAGAGAGCAGAGAGAGACCAGAGAGACCAGAGAGAGACCAGAGAGAGACCAGAGAGAGACCAGAGAGACCAGAGGGACCAGAGAGAGAGCAGAGAGAGACCAGAGAGACCAGAGAGAGACCAGAGAGAGACCAGAGAGAGACCAGAGAGAGACCGTACAGTCCCAGTCTTTAAGCTCTTGGTCCCGGTCCAGAGGTGACATTAAAACCTCCTGGTGTCTTCCAGGGCCTGTTTTATTATCCTTCTGTAGCATCACTCTTCAGCCTCTGCCTCCGCGCTCTGAGGGGAGTGTTTTGACGAGGGGTTAACGCCGGCCGTGCCAAAAACACGCACAGAAATCGCCGCCACGTCCAGCTCGGCGTCTGTTAAACGACATTTTAATGGCGGCAGGACGGGCAGCGGGCCTAAGCACCTGGCAGCCGTCCCGCTCGGGCCTAAAGCTGCATCATCGCACACAAATCAGCTGTAATTGTGTCTCGGTTCAATACTGTCAGCGATTGTGGTCTGTTAGCGCAAATTAGCATCGCGCGGATCTGCGGGGGGCGGGGCCAGAGCATCCGCGGCTAACGGGAGAAGCTAATGGACTGGTAAAGGAGCAGAGGCAAAGTCATTTCAGAGACTGGACCATGGCTGTGTGTGTGTGTGTGTGTGTGTGTGTGTGTGTCTGTGTGTGTGTGTGTAGGTGTGTGTGTGTGTGTGTGTGTGTGTGTGTGTGTGTGTGTGTGTGTGTGTCTGTGTGTGTGTGTGTGGTGTGTGTGTGTGTGTGTGTGTGTGTGTGTGTGTGTGTGTGTGTGTGTGTGTGTGTGTGTGTGTGTGTATGTGTGTGTGTGTGTAGCTGAAGCCCATGATGTGTGTGTGTGTGTACCTGAAGCCCATGATGTATGTGTGTGTGTGTGTGTACCTGAAGCCCATGATGTGTGTGTGTGTGTGTGTGTGTGTACCTGAAGCCCATGATGTGTGTGTGTGTGTGTGTGTGTGTACCTGAAGCCCATGATGTGTGTGTGTGTGTGTGTGTGTGTACCTGAAGCCCATGATGTGTGTGTGTGTGTGTGTGTGTGTGTACCTGAAGCCCATGATGTGTGTGTGTGTGTGTGTGTGTGTGTGTGTGTGTGTGTGTGTGTGTGTGTACCTGAAGCCCATGATGTGTGTGTGTGTGTGTGTGTACCTGAAGCCCATGATGTGTGTGTGTGTGTGTGTAGCTGAAGCCCATGATGTGTGTGTGTGTGTGTGTGTACCTGAAGCCCATGATGTGTGTGTGTGTGTGTGTGTGTGTGTGTGTGTGTATGTGTGTGTGTGTGTAGCTGAAGCCCATGATGTGTGTGTGTGTGTGTGTAGCTGAAGCCCATGATGTGTGTGTGTGTGTGTGTGTGTGTGTGTGTGTGTGTATGTGTGTGTGTGTGTAGCTGAAGCCCATGATGTGTGTGTGTGTGTGTAGCTGAAGCCCATGATGTGTGTGTGTGTGTGTGTGTGTGTGTAGCTGAAGCCCATGATGTGTGTGTGTGTGTAGCTGAAGCCCATGATGTGTGTGTGTGTGTGTGTGTAGCTGAAGCCCATGATGTGTGTGTGTGTGTGTGTGTGTGTGTGTGTGTGTGTAAGTGTGTGTGTGTAGCTGAAGCCCATGATGTGTGTGTGTGTGTGTGTGTGTGTGTAGCTGAAGCCCATGATGTGTGTGTGTGTGTACCTGAAGCCCATGATGTGTGCGTCTGTGTGTGTGTGTGTGTGTGTATCTGAAGCCCATGATGTGTGTGTGTGTGTGTCTGTGTGCGTCTGTGTGTGTGTGTGTGTGTGTGTGTGTGTGTGTATGTGTGTGTGTGTGTGTGTGTGTGTGTGCGTCTGTGTGTGTGTGTGTGTGTGTGTACCTGAAGCCCATGATGTGTGCGTCTGTGTGTGTGTGTGTGTACCTGAAGCCCATGATGTGTGCGTCTGTGTGTGTGTGTGTGTGTGTGTATCTGAAGCCCATGATGTGTGTGTGTGTGTGTCTGTGTGCGTCTGTGTGTGTGTGTGTATGTGTGTGTGTATGTGTGTGTGTGTGTGTGTGTGTGTGTGTGTGCGTCTGTGTGTGTGTGTGTGTGTATCTGAAGCCCATGATGTGTGTGTGTTTGTGTCTGTGTGCGTCTGTGTGTGTGTGTGTATGTGTGTGTGTAAGTGTGTGTGTGTGTGTGTGTGTGTGTGTGTGTGTGTGTCTGTGTGTGTGTGTGTGTGTGTGTGTACCTGAAGCCCATGATGTGTGTGTGTGTGTGTGTGTGTGTGTGTGTGTGTACCTGAAGCCCATGATGTGTGTGTGTGTGTGTACCTGAAGCCCATGATGTGTGTGTGTGTGTGTGTGCGTCTGTGTGTGTGTGTGTGTGTGTATGTGTGTGTGTGTACCTGAAGCCCATGATGTGTGTGTGTGTGTGTGTGTGTGTGTGTGTGTGTGTGTGTACCTGAAGCCCATGATGTGTGTGTGTGTGTGTGTGTGTGTGTGTACCTGAAGCCCATGATGTGTGTGTGTGTGTGTGTGTGTGTGTGTACCTGAAGCCCATGATGTGTGTGTGTGTGTGTGTGTACCTGAAGCCCATGATGTGTGTGTGTGTGTGTGTGTGTGTGTGTGTATGTGTGTGTGTGTGTAGCTGAAGCCCATGATGTGTGTGTGTGTGTGTAGCTGAAGCCCATGATGTGTGTGTGTGTGTGTGTGTGTGTAGCTGAAGCCCATGATGTGTGTGTGTGTGTAGCTGAAGCCCATGATGTGTGTGTGTGTGTGTGTAGCTGAAGCCCATGATGTGTGTGTGTGTGTGTGTGTGTGTGTGTGTGTGTGTGTGTGTGTGTGTGTGTGTGTAAGTGTGTGTGTGTAGCTGAAGCCCATGATGTGTGTGTGTGTGTACCTGAAGCCCATGATGTGTGTGTGTGTGTGTCTGTGTGCGTCTGTGTGTGTGTGTGTGTGTGTATGTGTGTGTGTATGTGTGTGTGTGTGTGTGTGTGTGTGTGTGTGCGTCTGTGTGTGTGTGTGTGTGTACCTGAAGCCCATGATGTGTGCGTCTGTGTGTGTGTGTGTGTACCTGAAGCCCATGATGTGTGCGTCTGTGTGTGTGTGTGTGTGTGTGTATCTGAAGCCCATGATGTGTGTGTGTGTGTGTCTGTGTGCGTCTGTGTGTGTGTGTGTATGTGTGTGTGTATGTGTGTGTGTGTGTGTGTGTGTGTGTGTGTGTGTGCGTCTGTGTGTGTGTGTGTGGTGTATCTGAAGCCCATGATGTGTGTGTGTGTGTGTGTCTGTGTGCGTCTGTGTGTGTGTGTGTGTGTGTGTGTGTGTGTGTGTGTGTGTGTGTGTGCGTTGTGTGTGTGTGTGTGTGTGTGTGTGTACCTGAAGCCCATGGTGTGTGTGTGTGTGTGTGTGTGTGTGTGTGTGTGTACCTGAAGCCCATGATGATGTGTGTGTGTGTGTGTACCTGAAGCCCATGATGTGTGTGTGTGTGTGTGTGTGTGTCTGTGTGTGTGTGTGTGTGTGTGTGTGTGTGTGTACCTGAAGCCCATGATGTGTGTGTGTGTGTGTGTGTGTGTGTGTGTGTGTGTGTGTACCTGAAGCCCATGATGTGTGTGTGTGTGTGTGTACCTGAAGCCCATGATGTGTGTGTGTGTGTGTGTGTGTGTGTGTGTGTGTGTACCTGAAGCCCATGATGTGTGTGTGTGTGTGTGTGTACCTGAAGCCCATGATGTGTGTGTGTGTGTGTGTGTGTGTGTGTGTGTGTGTGTGTGTGTGTACCTGAAGCCCATGATGTGTGTGTGTGTGTGTGTGTACCTGAAGCCCATGATGTGTGTGTGTGTGTGTGTGTGTGTGTGTGTGTGTACCTGAAGCCCATGATGGGGGGGTTGGCGGTGGCCTGGCAGGTGAACGTGACCCTCTCTCCTTCCATCACTGATCGCGGCTCGATTGACAGCGTCACAGTGGGCGGGTCTACAACAGAGACAGGAAGTGCTTACTCCGCTGCGACGACTGAGAGACGGGTCCAAACAACACGCCCACCTTTCCCACTGTCGTCTCGGGTTCACAGGACGTTTCACCACATCTGAAGTTTGCAAACACCTCTGATCTCTAAAGTATTTGATGAATTTGATCTCTAATCTTAGAAAGCAGGTTAAATAACTCAGATACAGAACTCACATGTGGCATTTTACACACACGCCTGTTTGTAAAAAAATAAATAATAATAAATAGACAAAAGCTTTCCCCAGAACGACCCATTTTCCTGGTCATCAGAACAGACGCACAAATCCAGATCCAATTATCGGTCTCTCTCATTATCGTCGTTAAAAAGGGTAAAAAGCAAATGCAGCAGTGACCTCTGACCCCTGAGGCCTGAGCTCCTGGACCTCAGTCTCCCCTCTGACCTATTGATGTCACCTCCCTCCATCTGGTCTCCTCTGGTCGTTACTGAGGCTGTAAAGCTCTCATGGTACCGACGGATGGACTATGTGCGTCATCGGTACTCCCGAGTCCAGGCAAAGACCTCGTCCAAGAGCCCTGTAGACTGTAGACGCAGGACTGAGGGGGTAGACCCAGGACTGAGGCTGTAGACCCAGGACTGAGGCTGTAGACCCAGGACTGAGGCTGTAGACCCAGGACTGAGGCTGTAGACCCAGGACTGAGGCTGTAGATCCAGGACTGAGGCTGTAGACCCAGGACTGAGGCTGCAGATCCAGGACTGAGGCTGTAGACCCAGGACTGAGGCTGTAGACCCAGGACTGAGGCTGTAGACCCAGGACTGAGGCTGTAGACCCAGGACTGAGACTGTAGACCGAGGCTGTAGACCCAGGACTGAGGCTGTAGACCCAGGACTGAGGCTGTAGACCCAGGACTGAAGTTATAGACCCAGGACTGAGACTGTAGACCCAGGACTGAGACTGTAGACCCAGGACTGAGACTGTAGATCCAGGACTGAGGCTGTAGACCCAGGACCGAGGCTGTAGACCCAGGACTGAGGCTGTAGACCCAGGACTGAGGCTGTAGATCCAGGACTGAGGCTGTAGATCCAGGACTGAGGCTGTAGACCCAGGACTGAGGTTGTAGACCCAGGACTGAGATTGTAGACCCAGGACTGAGGCTGTAGATCCAGGACTGAGGCTGTAGACCCAGGACTGAGGCTGTAGACCCAGGACTGAGGCTGTAGACCCAGGACTGAGGCTGTAGACCCAGGACTGAAGTTATAGACCCAGGACTGAGACTGTAGACCCAGGACTGAGACTGTAGACCCAGGACTGAGACTGTAGATCCAGGACTGAGGCTGTAGACCCAGGACCGAGGCTGTAGACCCAGGACTGAGGCTGTAGACCCAGGACTGAGGCTGTAGATCCAGGACTGAGGCTGTAGATCCAGGACTGAGGCTGTAGACCCAGGACTGAGGCTGTAGACCCAGGACTGAGACTGTAGACCCAGGACTGAGGCTGTAGATCCAGGACTGAGGCTGTAGACCCAGGACTGAGACTGTAGACCCAGGACTGAGGCTGTAGACCCAGGACTGAGGCTGTAGACCCAGGACTGAGGCTGTAGACCCAGGACTGAGACTGTAGACCCAGGACTGAGACTGTAGACCCAGGACTGAGGCTGTAGACCCAGGACTGAGGCTGTAGACCCAGGACTGAGACTGTAGACCCAGGACTGAGGCTGTAGATCCAGGACTGAGGCTGTAGACCCAGGACTGAGGCTGTAGACCCAGGACTGAGACTGTAGACCCAGGACTGAGACTGTAGACCCAGGACTGAGGCTGTAGATCCAGGACTGAGGCTGTAGACCCAGGACTGAGGCTGTAGACCCAGGACTGAGGCTGTAGACCCAGGACTGTAGACCCAGGACTGAGGCTGAAGACCCAGTTCACAAAAAGTTAAATTCTAGGATATTTATGAACTAATTTGACCACAGTGATTCAGGACCAGAGGATTTTAAAACATTGAGAATAACTTAATCCCAGCGATCAATAATCCTGATCTTCTGGACTTAGTTTCAGAGTCTGACGCTGGACTCACGGTGCACGTTGAGCATGACGGAGGTCCTCTTCCCCATCGGGACGGCAGGGTTGGAGGCAATGCAGGTGAAGGTCCTCCCACTGTCGGTGTCTGCAGGGTTTATGGTCAGGTAACTGCGGGTCGTCACTCGCTTTCTGTCCGGGAGAACCTCCTGAGAAACCAGACCAGACCAGACCAGAGAGAGACCAGAGAGAGACCAGAGAGAGACCAGAGACAGACCAGAGAGAGACCAGAGAGAGACCAGAGAGAGACCAGAGACAGACCAGAGAGAGACCAGAGACAGACCAGAGAAAGACCAGAGAGAGACCAGAGAGAGACCAGAGACAGACCAGAGAGAGACCAGAGACAGACCAGAGAGAGACCAGAGAGAGACCAGAGAGAGACCAGAGAGAGACCAGAGAAAGACCAGAGAGAGACCAGAGAGAGACCAGAGAGACCAGAGACAGACCAGAGAGAGACCAGAGACAGACCAGAGAGAGACCAGAGAGAGACCAGAGACAGACCAGAGAGAGACCAGAGAGAGACCAGAGAGAGACCAGAGACAGACCAGAGAGAGACCAGAGACAGACCAGAGAGACCAGAGACAGACCAGAGAGAGACCAGAGAAAGACCAGAGAGAGACCAGAGACAGACCAGAGAGAGACCAGAGAGAGACCAGAGACAGACCAGAGAGAGACCAGAGAGAGACCAGAGAGAGACCAGAGACAGACCAGAGAGAGACCAGAGACAGACCAGAGAAAGACCAGAGAGAGACCAGAGACAGACCAGAGAGAGACCAGAGACAGACCAGAGAGAGACCAGAGAGAGACCAGAGAGAGACCAGAGACAGACCAGAGAGAGACCAGAGAGAGACCAGAGAGAGACCAGAGAGAGAATCAGAGTCAGAATAGTTTTTACTGCCATTGGAAGTAACAGGAAGTCACAAACTCGGAAATGGATTTGGTTCAAACGAGTTTTAAGAGTGACAGATTGATCAGACAGAGGTCTGTATGTATACTGAGACAGATGTATGTATACTGAGACAGATGTATGTATACTGAGACAGATGTATGTATACTGAGACAGATGTATGTATACTGAGACAGATGTATGTATACTGAGACAGAGGTATGTATACTGAGACAGATGTATGTATACTGAGACAGATGTATGTATACTGAGACAGAGGTATGTATACTGAGACAGATGTATGTATACTGAGACAGATGTATGTATACTGAGACAGAGGTATGTATACTGAGACAGAGGTATGTATACTGAGACAGAGGTATGTATACTGAGACAGATGTATGTATACTGAGACAGAGGTATGTATACTGAGACAGATGTATGTATACTGAGACAGATGTATGTATACTGAGACAGAGGTATGTATACTGAGACAGAGGTATGTATACTGAGACAGATGTATGTATACTGAGACAGATGTATGTATACTGAGACAGAGGTATGTATACTGAGACAGATGTATGTATACTGAGACAGAGGTATGTATACTGAGACAGAGGTATGTATACTGAGACATCATATGATTTTTTTTTTCTGATTTTCTTCTGTTGGGTCAATAAAGAATCTATCTTTCCGTTTTTTTTCTCTGTGTGTGATAATATGCAGCCTACATGGGGGAGGAGGGGGGAGAGAGGTGGGAGGAGGGGGGAGAGAGGTGGGAGGAGGGTGGGGGGTCATATGAATCAGACTGATGTACGGAGCTGCCACGGCCCAGAATGCATTGGGTTTGTTTGACGAGAGGCCGGCGGTTTGCGAGAAAAACGACTTAATCTATTCTACAAGCTCAGTCTCTTCCACTTTGGTTGTAATTTCTGCCGGAGCAGGTCTGGGGCAGGTCTGGAGCAGGTCTGGGGCAGGTCTGGAGAAGGTCTGGGGCAGGTCTGGGGCCGGTCTGGGGCAGGTCTGGGGCCGGTCTGGGGCAGGTCTGGAGCAGGTCTGGGGCAGGTCTGGAGCAGGTCTGGGGCAGCGGCACGAGACCAAAACTTAATATTTAGTTTTTTGTCGTAAATAATGTTAGGCCAGAGTTTTCCTGGTGTGTTACGGAAGTTCTCTCTGGAAGATTCCATCTGAGTCTGTGCTGAGTCTGTACTGAGTCTGTACTGAGTCTGTACTGAGTCTGTGCTGAGTCTGTACTGAGTCTGAGTCTGTGCTGAGTCTGTACTGAGTCTGTACTGAGTCTGTACCGAGTCTGTACTGAGTCTGTGCTGAGTCTGTACTGAGTCTGAGTCTGTGCTGAGTCTGTACTGAGTCTGTACTGAGTCTGTACCGAGTCTGTGCTGAGTCTGTACTGAGTCTGAGTCTGTGCTGAGTCTGTACTGAGTCTGTACTGAGTCTGTACTGAGTCTGAGTCTGTACTGAGTCTGTACTGAGTCTGTACTGAGTCTGAGTCTGTACTGAGTCTGTACTGAGTCTGTACTGAGTCTGAGTCTGTACTGAGTCTGTACTGAGTCTGTACTGAGTCTGAGTCTGTACTGAGTCTGTACTGAGTCTGTACTGAGTCTGTACTGAGTCTGTGCTGAGTCTGTACTGAGTCTGTACTGAGTCTGTACTGAGTCTGTGCTGAGTCTGTACTGAGTCTGTACTGAGTCTGTACTGAGTCTGTGCTGAGTCTGTACTGAGTCTGTACTGAGTCTGTGCTGAGTCTGTACTGAGTCTGTACTGAGTCTGAGTCTGTGCTGAGTCTGTACTGAGTCTGTACTGAGTCTGTACTGAGTCTGTACTGAGTCTGTACTGAGTCTGAGTCTGTGCTGAGTCTGTACTCAGTCTGTACTGAGTCTGTGCTGAGTCTGTGCTGAGTCTGTACTGAGTCTGTACTGAGTCTGTACTGAGTCTGTACTGAGTCTGTGCTGAGTCTGTACTGAGTCTGTACTGAGTCTGTACTGAGTCTGTACTGAGTCTGAGTCTGTGCTGAGTCTGTACTCAGTCTGTACTGAGTCTGTGCTGAGTCTGTGCTGAGTCTGTACTGAGTCTGTACTGAGTCTGTGCTGAGTCTGTGCTGAGTCTGTGCTGAGTCTGTACTGAGTCTGTACTGAGTCTGTACTGAGTCTGTACTGAGTCTGAGTCTGTGCTGAGTCTGTCTGAGTCTGTACTGAGTCTGTACTGAGTCTGTACTGAGTCTGTACTGAGTCTGACTGAGCTGAGTCTGTGCTGAGTCTGTACTCAGTCTGTACTGAGTCTGTGCTGAGTCTGTACTGAGTCTGTACTGAGTCTGTACTGAGTCTGTGCTGAGTCTGTACTGAGTCTGTACTGAGTCTGTACTGAGTCTGTACTGAGTCTGTGCTGAGTCTGTACTGAGTCTGTACTGAGTCTGTACTGAGTCTGTACTGAGTCTGTACTGAGTCTGTACTGAGTCTGAGTCTGTGCTGAGTCTGTACTGAGTCTGTACTGAGTCTGTACTGAGTCTGTACTGAGTCTGAGTCTGTGCTGAGTCTGTACTCAGTCTGTACTGAGTCTGTGCTGAGTCTGTGCTGAGTCTGTACTGAGTCTGTACTGAGTCTGTACTGAGTCTGTACTGAGTCTGTGCTGAGTCTGTACTGAGTCTGTACTGAGTCTGTACTGAGTCTGTACTGAGTCTGTGCTGAGTCTGTACTGAGTCTGTACTGAGTCTGTACTGAGTCTGTACTACTGAGTCTGTACTGAGTCTGTACTGAGTCTGTACTGAGTCTGTGCTGAGTCTGTGCTGAGTCTGTACTGAGTCTGTACTGAGTCTGTACTGAGTCTGAGTCTGTGCTGAGTCTGTACTCAGTCTGTACTGAGTCTGTGCTGAGTCTGTACTGAGTCTGTACTGAGTCTGTACTGAGTCTGTACTGAGTCTGTACTGAGTCTGAGTCTGTACTGAGTCTGTGCTGAGTCTGTGCTGAGTCTGAGTCTGTGCTGAGTCTGTGCTGAGTCTGAGTCTGTGCTGAGTCTGTGCTGAGTCTGTACTGAGTCTGAGTCTGTGCTGAGTCTGTGCTGAGTCTGTACTGAGTCTGAGTCTGTGCTGAGTCTGTGCTGAGTCTGTACTGAGTCTGTGCTGAGTCTGTACTGAGTCTGAGTCTGTGCTGAGTCTGTGCTGAGTCTGTGCTGAGTCTGTGCTGAGTCTGTACTGAGTCTGTACTGAGTCTGTACTGAGTCTGTGCTGAGTCTGAGTCTGTGCTGAGTCTGTGCTGAGTCTGTACTGAGTCTGTGCTGAGTCTGTACTGAGTCTGAGTCTGTACTGAGTCTGTGCTGAGTCTGTGCTGAGTCTGTGCTGAGTCTGTACTGAGTCTGTGCTGAGTCTGTGCTGAGTCTGAGTCTGTGCTGAGTCTGTGCTGAGTCTGTGCTGAGTCTGTACTGAGTCTGTACTGAGTCTGTGCTGAGTCTGTGCTGAGTCTGTGCTGAGTCTGTACTGAGTCTGTACTGAGTCTGTACTGAGTCTGTACTGAGTCTGAGTCTGTGCTGAGTCTGTACTGAGTCTGTACTGAGTCTGTACTGAGTCTGTACTGAGTCTGTACTGAGTCTGAGTCTGTGCTGAGTCTGTACTCAGTCTGTACTGAGTCTGTGCTGAGTCTGTGCTGAGTCTGTACTGAGTCTGTACTGAGTCTGTACTGAGTCTGTACTGAGTCTGTGCTGAGTCTGTACTGAGTCTGTACTGAGTCTGTACTGAGTCTGTACTGAGTCTGTGCTGAGTCTGTACTGAGTCTGTACTGAGTCTGTACTGAGTCTGTACTGAGTCTGTACTGAGTCTGTACTGAGTCTGTACTGAGTCTGTGCTGAGTCTGTACTGAGTCTGTACTGAGTCTGTACTGAGTCTGAGTCTGTGCTGAGTCTGTACTCAGTCTGTACTGAGTCTGTGCTGAGTCTGTGCTGAGTCTGTACTGAGTCTGTACTGAGTCTGTACTGAGTCTGTACTGAGTCTGTACTGAGTCTGAGTCTGTACTGAGTCTGTGCTGAGTCTGTACTGAGTCTGTGCTGAGTCTGTGCTGAGTCTGAGTCTGTGCTGAGTCTGTGCTGAGTCTGAGTCTGTGCTGAGTCTGTGCTGAGTCTGTACTGAGTCTGAGTCTGTGCTGAGTCTGTGCTGAGTCTGTACTGAGTCTGAGTCTGTGCTGAGTCTGTGCTGAGTCTGTACTGAGTCTGTGCTGAGTCTGTACTGAGTCTGAGTCTGTGCTGAGTCTGTGCTGAGTCTGTGCTGAGTCTGTGCTGAGTCTGTACTGAGTCTGTACTGAGTCTGTACTGAGTCTGTCTGCTGAGTCTGAGTCTGTGCTGAGTCTGTGCTGAGTCTGTACTGAGTCTGTGCTGAGTCTGTACTGAGTCTGAGTCTGTACTGAGTCTGTGCTGAGTCTGTGCTGAGTCTGTGCTGAGTCTGTACTGAGTCTGTGCTGAGTCTGTGCTGAGTCTGAGTCTGTGCTGAGTCTGTGCTGAGTCTGTGCTGAGTCTGTACTGAGTCTGTACTGAGTCTGTGCTGAGTCTGTGCTGAGTCTGTGCTGAGTCTGTACTGAGTCTGTACTGAGTCTGTACTGAGTCTGTACTGAGTCTGAGTCTGTGCTGAGTCTGTACTGAGTCTGTACTGAGTCTGTACTGAGTCTGTACTGAGTCTGTACTGAGTCTGAGTCTGTGCTGAGTCTGTACTCAGTCTGTACTGAGTCTGTGCTGAGTCTGTGCTGAGTCTGTACTGAGTCTGTACTGAGTCTGTACTGAGTCTGTGCTGAGTCTGTACTGAGTCTGTACTGAGTCTGTACTGAGTCTGTACTGAGTCTGTGCTGAGTCTGTACTGAGTCTGTACTGAGTCTGTACTGAGTCTGTACTGAGTCTGTACTGAGTCTGTACTGAGTCTGAGTCTGTGCTGAGTCTGTACTGAGTCTGTACTGAGTCTGTACTGAGTCTGTACTGAGTCTGAGTCTGTGCTGAGTCTGTACTCAGTCTGTACTGAGTCTGTGCTGAGTCTGTGCTGAGTCTGTACTGAGTCTGTACTGAGTCTGTACTGAGTCTGTGCTGAGTCTGTACTGAGTCTGTACTGAGTCTGTACTGAGTCTGTACTGAGTCTGTGCTGAGTCTGTACTGAGTCTGTACTGAGTCTGTACTGAGTCTGTACTGAGACTGTACTGAGTCTGTACTGAGTCTGTGCTGAGTCTGTGCTGAGTCTGTACTGAGTCTGTACTGAGTCTGTACTGAGTCTGAGTCTGTGCTGAGTCTGTACTCAGTCTGTACCGAGTCTGTGCTGAGTCTGTGCTGAGTCTGTACTGAGTCTGTACTGAGTCTGTACTGAGTCTGTACTGAGTCTGTACTGAGTCTGAGTCTGTACTGAGTCTGTGCTGAGTCTGTACTGAGTCTGTACTGAGTCTGTGCTGAGTCTGTGCTGAGTCTGAGTCTGTGCTGAGTCTGTGCTGAGTCTGAGTCTGTGCTGAGTCTGTGCTGAGTCTGTACTGAGTCTGTGCTGAGTCTGTGCTGAGTCTGTACTGAGTCTGAGTCTGTGCTGAGTCTGTGCTGAGTCTGTACTGAGTCTGTGCTGAGTCTGTACTGAGTCTGAGTCTGTGCTGAGTCTGTGCTGAGTCTGTGCTGAGTCTGTGCTGAGTCTGTACTGAGTCTGTACTGAGTCTGTACTGAGTCTGTGCTGAGTCTGTGCTGAGTCTGTACTGAGTCTGTGCTGAGTCTGTGCTGAGTCTGAGTCTGTGCTGAGTCTGTGCTGAGTCTGTGCTGAGTCTGTGCTGAGTCTGTGCTGAGTCTGTGCTGAGTCTGTGCTGAGTCTGTACTGAGTCTGTGCTGAGTCTGTACTGAGTCTGTACTGAGTCTGTGCTGAGTCTGCTTTCAATGAGCCAGTTAGCATTGTCCATCTGTATGCAGGCTATGGTGTGTGTGTATGTGTGTGTGTGTGTGTGTATGTGTGGGTGTGCATAAGTGTGTGGGTCTGTGTATATGTATATTGTAAATGTCTGCAGTGTGAGTGTGAGTTTATCTTATCTGATCTTATGTGTGTGTGTATCCGTCTGCGTGTGTGTGTGTCTATGTGTGTGTGTCTATATGACTATACAGTATATGTGTGAATGTGTATGTATGTGTACAGTATGTATGTGTATTTGTGTGCGTGTGTGTGTGTGTATGTACAGTATATGTGTGAAAATGTGTATGTGTGTGTGAGTGAGTGTGTGTGTTTGTGCGTGAGTGTGTGTGTGTGTGTGTGTGTGTGTGTGTGTGTGTGTGTGTGTGTGTGCGACCCTGAAGCACTGGGAAGTGTGAGTCCGCACCCAAAGGTCACTGATGCACGTGTCCAGGTTTCATCTTTAATAGTTTGAGTTCATCTGAAGCAGAAGAAGCCGATGGCAACGTGTGTTTGTGTGTGTGTTTGTGTGTGTGCGCCTTCCAGTTTATTTATGTTGTTTACAGACACACTTTTTTTTTTTTTTTAAACACTAATTTTGTTTTGGATAAAGATAGTTCTGTTGGTTCAGAATCAAGAAGGTTTGTCTGGATGTAAACAGGGATCAAAGGTTTAAAGGAGCATGTTCTACTTCCAGGTGGATCATCAAGACTATTGGTCCTCCCAGCTGTCAATCAATCTGCTGATACGTGCTCGTCCAATCAGAACAGAGAGTTTGGTTCAAAAAGTGGAGAGGGCCTTTGAGGGTCAGGGTTTTAATAATGCATCAGTTTTATACAGTCTCAAAGTCTCTTCACATTATTCTTTCTCTCCAAACACGGTGGACACTGACGGAAGCGAGGCCCCTCCCACCACCAACCATACACACACACACACCAGACTCATTCTAATGTGGGGGAAGTGTCTTGCCTAAGGACACAACCACAGTTTGGCACTTTACAGCCGCAGCCGCCCCACTGTGGCACCTGCTGTTCCCAGAGGTCTCCCATCACAGCACTAACCAGGCCCTGACCTGCTGAGCTTCAGAGATCTCCCATCACAGCACTAACCAGGCCCTGCCCTGCTTAGCTTCAGAGGTCTCCCATCACAGCACTAACCAGGCCGAAACATTCTTTTTAAGTCGGGGAAAAGAGGAACAAGTCCACTTTTGTGATTCTGAAGACTTAATATGTTTTACCAGGACATTTACACATTCACAGCGTCAACACAAACACACAGAGACACGCACACACACACGCACACACACACACACACCCTTACACACACACACCCACACACCCACACACCCTGACTCACCGTGGCCTGGTGGGCCCCGTCCACAGGGGCCCCGTCCTTGGTCCACTGTATGTGTGCTGCAGGTTTGGCTCCTCGTGTGACGCAGCTGAGGTTGTACTGAGTCCCAGCCATCAGCAGCAGCTCAGGGGCGCCCTCTAGCTGTGGCTCCTCTGGAGGAACTACACACACACATTATTATACACACACACACACACACACACACACATTATTATACACACACACACACACACACTCGGGTCACTGAGCAGGTTAAGCATGAGTCACTAAAGTGCAGTGACAGGACGGAGCCAAACGATGTCAGTTTCACCATAGACCTGTTTCCACCAGAACCACTCATAATGTCATGGCACACATCAGCCCTGTTTGGCCCAGCTCTACTCTACTTGGCCCTACTCTACTCTACTTGGCCCTACTCTATTCTACTTGGCCCTGCTCTACTCTACTTGGTCCTACTCTACTCTACTTGGCCCTACTCTACTCTACTCTACTTGGCCCTACTCTACTCTACTTGGCCCTACTCTACTCTACTTTACTTGGCCCTGCTCTACTCTACTTGGCCCTACTCTACTCTACTCTACTCTACTTGGCCCTACTCTACTCTACTTTGCCCTACTCTACTCTACTCTACTTGGCCCTGCTCTACTCTACTCTACTCTACTCTACTTGGCCCTACTCTACTCTACTTGGCCCTACTCTACTCTACTTTACTTGGCCCTGCTCTACTCTACTTGGCCCTACTCTACTCTACTCTACTCTACTTGGCCCTACTCTACTCTACTTTACTTGGCCCTACTCTACTCTACTTAGCCCTACTCTACTCTACTTGGCCCTGCTCTACTCTACTTGGCCCTGCTCTACTCTACTCTACTCTACTCTACTCTACTCTACTTGGCCCTACTCTACTCTACTTTACTTGGCCCTACTCTACTCTACTTGGCCCTGCTCTACTCTACTCTACTCTACTCTACTTGGCCCTGCTCTACTCTACTATACTCTACTCTACTTCGCCCTGCTCTACTCTACTCTACTCTACTCTACTCTACTCTACTCTACTTGGCCCTACTCTACTCTACTTTACTTGGCCCTACTCTACTCTACTTAGCCCTA